GGTTTATAGTAGGAGTAAGAGGTGGTGGGCGACAGTGGTGGTAGTAGGAGATAGTGATAGTTGTAGTGGGTGACAATGACTGTGGTGGCGGCGAAGGCGACAGTGATGATGGTGGTGACGATGACGACGATGGTGGCAGCTGCAGCGGCGGCGACGGTGGTGGTGATGGTAGTGGCGGCGACCGCGATCGCGATGGTGATGGTGGCAGTGGTGGTAGTAGATGTAGTGGTGGAGTAATTTCAAATACTATTTTAAAAAAAAAAATTTATGAAAAATAATTTATAAAACTAATTTTAAAAAGTCACGAGGACCTGAGACTGATACTCGTTGGACAACAAGGAGGAGCACAACTTGGAGGACCTCAAGCTAGAGAAACTCCACGCCCTGGGAGTCAAGGAGCTGCCCAAGGGGGCGCCCCACACAAGGGAGCCCACCATGAGGGACCTCCACCTCCTCTTCCTCTTCGAGCTCCTCTTTCCCATGGTGGAAACCTTCATTTCCAAGAGGATGAGAGGTAGGAATCAAAGTGTGGAGCACGGGATTCAATTTCATGACAATTCCAAAGGAGTGCCCAATCACTAAACGAAAAAATCAAAGATGTGCAAAATCAACTAAGCGACGTCTTCAACACCATGAAGGCACGAGGACCCGAGACTGTGGACTATCTCATAAGGCAAACACACACATTTCGTAGCTGATTTGGCAAACTACCTACTTCCCCAAAAGTTTAAAATGTCATCTGTAGAAACTTTCGACAGTAAAAGGGACCCACTTGTCACCTCAAAACCTACAAAACTTTAATGCAGCTACACAACGTCTCTAACAAAATTAAGTGCAAGGCATTCCAACTACCTTGAAAGGATCAGTGCAACAATGGTTCACCAAACTCACCCTTGCCTTCATAGGCTCCTTCACTGAACTAAGCAAATCTTTTGTGGCACAATTCATTGGCGGATGCCGCCATCAGAAGCCTGCCACCCATATGCTCAATACAAAACAAGACCGATATAAAAACCTGAGAAATTACCTCGCTCGTTTTAACGAGGAGGTCCTCCAAATCAAGGAACCCAATGACAAAATCACCATCACCGCCTTCCTAGGAAGCCTTCGCTCATCGAGCTTTCTCTTCTCAATGATGACGCACCCATCAAGAGTATGTTAAATCTATTGGTAAAAGCTCAAAAATATATGACTGTTGAGGACATCAACAGGACTAGGCAAGGTGAATCATCTCACCGGTTGCCTGCCACAAGCTTGACTTACCTCTGCTCTACTCTCAAGCAAATAGCCCATATATCCAACTTAGTGGCTCTCTTGCGGGTCGCCAAAAAAACTTGACCTATCTCTGCTCTGCTCTCAAGTAGGCAACTTATCTCCAACTTAGTGGCTCTCTTGCTGGTGGCCAAAAACGCTTAACTTATCTCTACTTTACTCTCAAGCAGGCAACCTATATCTAGCTTGGCGGCTCTCTCACAGGTCGCCAAAAAATTGACTTCTGCTCTGCTCTGCTCTTAAGCAAGCAGCCTAAGGACTCTCTCATGGGTTTCTAAAAGTTCGGTCTCAAAAGGTGTAGCTCTCTAATGAGCAATCCTCAAACTATGTCTTTCCTCTCGCACAACCAACCTACCTCTCTCTCCAGATAATTATGTTAGATATTTTAATGCTTGAAATAACATTGTTTTTGTGATCTCTAACCAAGCTCTTGAAACTCAGGTCGTCTGTAACTTGAGGGACTACTTTAAATTGAATGTCAACAATCGAGCCTTATTCTTTTGTGTCCATCCGGCACCGCTGCCTCTATCAGCAAAGTCGTCTATCAGCGGTGCCCCTCCAACAGTGCCTAACCCCATGGGCGCCACTAGAGTACAGCGAGCGCCATAGGCACCTCAGTACGCTGCACACCCAGGTTAGAGACCAGGACCGCGCCCTTAGCATCTGCTGCTCGCCCATATCAACACCCTCAGCCCCAGGCTCACCCAAGGTGCTCAAGGCAGCCCCTTGCTCTCCTAAAGCTTCATCCTCACCAAAACTCTTCAAGCCCCCCTTTTGTTCACCCAACGGGCTGCCCTGCGCTCCTGCACCACCATCGGCGCCCAGCCTAGACGCCTCAACGCCCAGCCCACCTAAGACATCCAAAGGAGCGCCCATCTCTGTGGCCTAGGTGCCCAATACTAGGCTCTCATAGGCAGCCCCCTGCACTTTTTGAGTTGCTGGCCCCTCCACCTCGCACGCAGCAATGCACGCGCCAAGCTGCATGCCTAAAGGAGCTCATCTCCCTTCCAACGTCGATGCCCCTTTCATGGTCAGCAAGAAGCGGCCTAGGCGCCCTTCCCTTGGCGATGGCACCCACAGTGGTGTGGGCTTCAACACCTGCCTCTCCTTCTTCGATAGCTTACATCCCTTCTTCCTCAATTGACATGGCCTCTGAGATGCTCAAACTCAAGAAGCTCTTTAAAGGATTTTGAGGAATAAAGCTCTCCTTCTCTCTCAAGATTGAACAAAATGGTTGGAATGAAAAATAGTTTTTCTTTTTATAGCTGCGGTTTTAAAATTTTATTGAAGGGAGGAAAAGACAAAAAAAGCCCCAAATTACAACCTGGGCTCTTCAATAATCCAAAAAAGGAAGGAATGAAGGAGTTTATATAGTCAATGAAGTCCTACAAGTAAAAGGAGTCTACTGGAAGGGAGAAAGTCGACGAGCAAGAGGAGTTTCCAAAAAAATCGGATTTAAAAAGGGTTGCACGCTATTTTGACCATAACTTTTGATCTGAAACTCCAAATAGGGCTTATCATATATCAGATTAAAGTTCTTCGCGAACCCTACAAAACTCAATGCCTATGGCAATGAGAGATGCTGTAAAAAGTTCAAAAAGACTCAGAAACAGCTGTTTTGACCTCTCGAAGTTTTTTTTTTTTTAAAAAAAATTCAGCTGCTGCTCGCCTAGAACAATACCAGCTTGCCCAGAATAGTGTCTGCTCGCCCAGGGACTGCTGCTCACCCAAATCGCGCGCCTAGCTCCCTGCTCGCTATTGCGATCATAACTTTTGTTTCGTTACTCCAAACGGGGCTTATTACATATCAAATTGATGCTCTTGACTAGTTCTACAACACTTAAAGCCTTTGGCTGTGATTGATGTTGTAAAAAATCCAAAAAATGCTTAGAAGAAAATGTTTTGCCCTCTTGAAGTTTTTTCGGTTGTGCCAATTAGCCGAAAATTCAAACTTAATCAAATGTCCTCCTTTTCAAGTTCCATTAGATACGGGGCATTGGGGGGCAAATGATGGACAAAGCCCAAATGGCCCCAATCCATGTGGAAAGTCCAGTTTTAACTAAAAGCCCAATCTTATAAAGACCCACCAAGTCCAATATGATCCGAGTCCAGTCAAGTTCATCAGGGAGTTACATCAACTTGGCTACGTCATCAGGAGAGCATCCAGGAGCCTCATCCACGCCACCTTGAAAATAGTCAATACCCACGTCATCTTTTGACCACATCTCATGGAGAGTCCCGTAGCCACCTCACCCGTTGAGAAGAGGTCGCCAAATTCAACAACTAGCCACTTGGTTATTAATATCTCGCCCAAATCTGTTAGAAAGACAACTATAAATTGTAAGTCGCACCAACACTTAGGGGGCAGATCACACTTTGTTGAGCACAACTCTTTTCTCTCCCTCGCAGCTTGTAACTCTTTGCTCTCCTTGCACATTTGAGTTAATAAAATACCTAGCGACCCTGACTATTCAAAAGTGGACGTAGGTCATTTTGACCGAACCACTATAATATCATCTTCTCTCTATTTTAATTACTACAGTTTATTATTCATACTTGACAGGTGATGTGCAAACCCAATTTGTGCATCATCAATTTTTATTTTATATTCTCAAAAGATTAATTTTTTCACATTATATTCTGAAATTTATTAAGAGCGTTACAATGGATCATTTTGTTAGTTTTTATTACTCATTCAATTAATGTCAATGGGGTGAATTTTATTGGAATAAGCAACAGATAATAGAAGGATCATGTTGAGGGTTGTCGATGAATTGGATCTTGATCTGTCCAAATTCGAATCTAATAAAAATTTAAGCTTCGAATCCGATCCATTTACCCGACGAATTTTAAAATCTTAATCCATATGCATTCATTAATAATTAGATGTCCAATTTAATCAACCAATCAATCTATTCATTAATTTTTATTTAATTTTATATCAGTCTCATTAAGGATGTATGTATATATAATAATTTTTCTCAATTAAATTAAATATATATATCAAATCAAATTTTTATCAGATCAGATTTTGATTGAATTTGGGTAAATAGATTAAATATTAATTTATATCCGACTAAATGAACTTTAATTCAAATTAAAATCATTCCATTGATAGACATAGTCACATTCCAATGCTTTTAACGTATTGAAAGTGTATAAAAAAAAGGTACAAAACCAAAAAAAAAGTTAAATCTTTTTAGGGTACAGAGTGAGATTCTCCCAACCTTAATTTTTAAAGTCTATCATTTGATTCTAAATGGTCTTAATTAATAAATTAAAAACAAATCAAAATTTATTACAAAAAGAGTTTATGTTCTAATTATGTGATACACAATTTTTATTAATTATTTTAAATATTCATTATCAATTAAATCATTTAAAAGTTAAATTAGAAGTTTTTAATACACAATTTTTATTAATTATTTTAAATATTCATTATCAATTAAATCATTTAAAAGTTAAATTAGAAGTTTTTAAAAATAAATTGATACATTTTCCAAAAAAATAATAAAATAATAAAAGCTTATTTTTCAGGACCATTAATATGTTTTTATTATTTAGGACAACAAAAAAACATGAACCATCATGGACCGACTACTGACGACTCTGGTTGGGAAGACAGAATTCATTTTCCTCTTTTCGTTTTCTCTCCCACCCTACTTGTTGGATTTTTATCAGCGAATGAACGAATATTCTCTCTCTCTCTCTCTCTGCCTACATATAGATAAGCGGATGCATTGTAGCTGAAGAGGAGAGAGAAAGAGAGGAGTGTCCCTAAAGCAAAGAAGAAGGAAACGTTTTAGGGTCTCTCCCTCTCTCCCCTATCTCCCTTTCTCTCTCTCTCTAGTCTCTATATTTACAAGAAATTATTTTTTTTTGGGTAATTGTTGTTGTATATGATATAGGGACTAGAATTGATTGAATTTAGGGGAAGATGGAAGAAGAGGTAGGACCAAGTTCTTCTTTGTATGGCAATGGCGATGGTGATGTTGTAAATAAGTCAAAGTTTCCATTGACGTTTTGGGAGATGGCGGTGGCGTCCGGCGTCGTATTGGGGTTCGTGTTGGGTCTTCTCTGCGTCTATCTTACCATGCCTGCCTCTGATTATAGCTTTCTCAAGCTTCCTCGTACTCTCGAAGATCTTCAGATCCTTAGGTACTTTCCTCTCTGTATTCGATTTTGTGGGTTGTGGAAGATTTTGATTTCTTTGGTAATGAATGTGAAGAGGAATTTTTTTTGAGGAAATTATGTGCAACTACTTGTCAGGTCTTTCACTTGTTTTGGAAGAGCTCGTATTTTCCATAAAATTACATTATGAGTCCTTTCTCGGTTGAGTGTTTCTGAAGAGAAATCATTCCTGTTGGAATATTCTTTATATGCAATGTGTTGGAACAATGGCTTAATATTCTTGTTGTTGACTCCAATTATTTAGCTGGAGGCTTTTGTGGTTTAAAGCTAGAACAGGATGAGTTTGGTTGAGATACAGAAATAAAGATTTGGGTTAGATCTTTAGGCAAAGGTGTTAAATTTTGGCAGCCTAGTTAGTGATGGGTACTCAATGGCGGAACAGGACCCCAAAAACGTTGGACAAGTCTTTGTTGAGTTGAGTTGAGTTGAGTTAGTGATGGGTTGCTGAAATCCTATACCTTGAGGTCTGGAAGCTGTTTGGAGCTTAATTATTGTGATTTTTTTTTTCAAATTAAGTAAAATTTCCACTATTTTTATTAGTCGGTGTCATTAGAAGAGTTCGGATTTGACCCATTTGAATTTTATGATTTTTAAATCCATTTTCTTCAAAAAAAAAGTTGACTCATAAGAATAAACTAGCGCATAGGCATCCATAAGAAGTTGGTTCAGAATAATGGCATAGAACATGTTAAGACGCATCCATTACTGGGGACATTGTATAAAACCTGTTATGATGCTTTACTGGGAAACGGTAAAAGGGTTTAGTTGGTTCAGGCATGTGCTTTGGATACCCATTCTAGGATTGTGAGATGAAATGCTTTTAGTTCTAGTTAAGATATCCAGAAGGCATGAATGAAAGTTCAAAAGAGAACATCTGTTTGTGTTGCTGAGAAAAGATATAACAACATATGTGCTAACTGGAAACATAGCATGGGACAGAGCAGAGTGATTCAAGTCTAAGTTGTTAGAAAGGTTTTGCGAACCCCAGTAGATTTCTGTGCGTCAATTTCAAACCAGGGATTTGTTGTATTTCTACTCAATATTCTTTTTGGAGGGGCTTTACTCTTTAGAGAGTTGGTTTAGTAAATAAGACTAAATAAAGGTCTACTTGCTATGTCTTTCTTGATTTGTTCTCTTGATATAGCATGTGTTCCTACTAGAATGACTCCCTGTTTATCCCTGTTACAATGTAGGAGAATTTCTACATGATTAAGGTTTGCCTTTTAGAGTGGAGTTTATCTATTCTATGAGCTATTAAAAGTGGAGAATTATGCACCATTTGAATGGAAGAAGGTTGGTGGCTAAATGGTAATGAATTGGGTAGGAAATCAAATTGTAGATAATGAATCATGAAGTTTGGTGTATTCATTTGGTTCACCTAGATATTATGTTTTTCAAATTCCCAAGATTGGAATGTTTAAAGCTAAATTGGATGTTACACATTTACGTCAGTATGGTCCTGTTGAGTTTTTTAATTCTGATACAATTTTATCTCAAACGTTATGACATTTTGTAAGAGCGTGGTGACTGCATTCTTTACTACGCTCATAGCTGTCAGGTGAATTTAAAAAACAAAAAACCTATCTATGCATTGACCTGGTAACTCAAGCGAATGCAATTCATCTACTCCATTTTCATGTGGCTCTTTAAGCCTGTTTATTTTTATTTTGAAATATGATTTATGAAAATAACAACAAAATTTGGGTTTTTTCTATAGAGATCACCTGGAGAGCTACACGAGCGACTACACGTTACAGGTCCTCGTGTGGTATTGCATGGTCTACATTTTCATGCAGACTTTTATGATTCCGGGGACTGTTTTCATGTCATTGCTTGCTGGGTCCCTCTTTGGAGTCTTCAAAGGTGTAGCTCTGGTTGTGTTAAATGCTACTGCCGGTGCATCCTCTTGCTATTTCCTCTCCAAATTAATTGGGCGGCCCCTTCTCTTCTCTCTCTGGCCTGACAAGCTGATTTTCTTCCAGGCCCAGGTGAATGTCTTCTCATTTATGTAGTCATCTTTCTTGAATCAGGCAAAGTATTGGATTTATATGTTTATGCTTACTCAGGTGGCTAAAAGACGTGAGCGGCTGTTGAATTACATGCTTTTCCTAAGAGTGACACCAACCTTGCCAAATACTTTTATTAATGTTGCTTCACCGATAGTTGATGTGCCTTACCATATTTTCTTCTTGGCAACGTTAATCGGGATTATTCCTGCAGCTTATGTCACTGTTCGGGTAAGTTATTTTACTTCATTTTCCTTTTGATTGATGAGTAATGATGATAGGATTTGAAGCACGGCACCAACTCCTTAGTAGCCCCAGGATCCCACCCTTTGCCACTGAGGTACTTTACCAATTATTCAAATCAATGTTAGTTTGCTACTGGATTTCAGGGATAGTTCTAAGGTCAAGATTTAATTCAAATAAAGATACAGAAAGATGGGTTCTCTTTGCAAGTCATATGTCCAGAACATCTTGGGGTGTTTCAAATAGCACAGGAAATGTTTACATTGTTAGGGATGCCTAATTATGTTTTGTTTGGGAAGGTTTGAATATTTATCGTAGTGCCCCAGGAGCTTCTGACTTGACTGGTTTTTTCATAGGCTGGAATAACTCTTGGTGAGCTGCGATCTGTGGCAGACCTCTACGACTTCCACTCGATAGCAACCTTGTTCCTTATCGGAGTTGTTACAGTCACCCCCACATTGATGACCAGCAAGAGCAGATCATAGAATTTCATTAGCTCAAACATGTTGGGTTAACATTGTGGCTTTACTTTCCGATCTACCATTTGGGTATCACTCTATTGTACAGATTTGCATCAAATAAACGCGATACGAGCAGCTAGCTCTGTTCAAGCTAATAGATTTCACTGTTGATGCTGCAGCTGTTGAAGATGATGTGGAGGAGATGTTGGGGTTGAGTTTATTTGGGGTGGAAATGTTATTAATGTAGAAGTGATGGAATTTCTGGCGTATTTTTCTGTATAATATTTTCTAAATCATATATGGAAAACAAATACACGGTTCCAACAGTAGCATTTTCATTTTTTTTGTTGATGTGGAACAGGGTATTATGGTAAGTCAAATGTTTCGTAAACGAGTGTATCCGATGCGATATAATTAATAAACGACATTTCTTCCTTCCATGTATAACGAGTGGAGAGTAGCATGTACACCCCTTTCCCTTTCTCTCTCCTGCGGCTAATCTTTTTCGTCCAAGTTGCAATAGATAGCACATTTGTGAATAATCTATTGTGTAACTATCAAAAAAATGGATGATCAAATCATAGCTTAGTTGTACATTTAAATAAAAATATTTTCAATGGTATTTTTAATAAAGTCAGTGTATCATTATTTTAGAATAAAAATTATCTCGGAGTTAATTGTAAATCTCACTTTTTATGTAAAAGTTATAATTAATCTCATTGTTTGTCTGTACCATAAATCAACTTTTAATATTTTTTGTGTTTAATATATAAAAAAGTTGATTCAGTGTATAAAAACTCTTGTTACCACAATATTTAAAGAGAGTCAAATATATACAACTTAATCCGGAATGCAGAGATTTTTTCCCAACTAAAACCTCTGATTCCTCATTGCTTTGCTTAGGCCCAACCTTACCACTATATCTAATGAGTGTTTAAATATCAAATATGGGGAAAAAATACATATGCATCTATATTATTATTGATTAAGAAAAAAAATTAAAGTTTGTTGTTTTTTTTTTTTTTTTGCTTGGCAAAAACAAGGGATGGTGACAAAAAAGAACGCCTAGAGATCACTTTGATAGACACTTACTGGTGGGATCATGAGACCTTTGATTACACCCGTTACATCTTTCAAGAACGAACTTAACTAAGCTAGTGTAATGGTGAACCACCAAACTCCAAATAAATAAGCTTGATTGAATTTATTAAATATTCAATGGTTGTGATTATACCGCATCATATGATAAAGATAAGATGATGCACAAAAGTGGTCTGCATGTGATTATCACTCAGAAATAGGGTTGCCAAAAGCAAGCATAATGCTTTGGAGAAATAGTGAAAAAGTAGTAATGGGCGATCAGTTAATCACACTAGTCCAAAGAAACAACAGTAAAGATATAATTACAGAATTCGGGTGTATAATCACTGCTTTCATTAAAGATTTTTTTGTTATTTTTCTAAGGGTAACATAGACTTTTAAACAGATCTCAGCAAGTAAAATAAGTGTTCAATAAACTTACAGGTTTCAGAATCAAAAGGGATCCGTGGCGCAATGGTAGCGCGTCTGACTCCAGATCAGAAGGTTGCGTGTTCGATTCACGTCGGGTTCAAAATCCCCATCCTGAGTTCCTTTTTTTTCCTTAGCAACACTTCTTTTCATTGACTTAATAAGTTCAGCGGTACTCCGAATACATTTGAAATTAGGCAGGCCTTGTTAGTATTGTACGATACAATTGTTGAAGAAAATATTGCATTGGGTGTATCGTATTTAAATTGTTTGATACAGATCAATACTAGAGGAAAATAGATTAAATTTTTTTTTGTTTGTATTTTAATCAAAAAACAATACATTTTTACTTAAAGTCTTCTTTTTTATTTATTCTATTTTAAGAACAAATAATTTGATGGTTAAAAATGTCATCCTCTAACTACATTAAATGTTAGAACTTGAACTCTAAATTTTAATAATGATGAATTATGTTAAAAATTTCAAGACTTAGATTATTAATTTTTTATTTTGCTCCTTCCAGTCTCTTTAAATTGTTTTATATGAGAAATTTGTGGTACAATAAAATGTTATTATGACATTTTATCATAGGTATATATATTTTTTAATATCTTTTATAAAGCTATATATATTTTACTACACACGATATCTTACAATATACGATACTATTTTTGAAAAATGATACGTTTTTTGATACACGTTTTCACAACCTTAGGCAAGTCCACAAACTGAAAAAGCACAGGCAGTCTCAAAGCATGCAACAAAACACCCCCATATCTATGAATCATTTACAGTGTCTTCATCGACCTCTGGTTTGACAAAGAACTCAATATAAGCAATACGGCTGGGCAGTTGATAGCCGGCAGAATCAATATGAGGATGTGAAGTAGACGGTCTTGCAACAGAAACTAGATGTTGAACTTTTAACATTCCACCTCTCCCAATGGTCAACTTGCTTCCTCTATTATCTTTGATGACACTGGCAGGTATGTTCGAAGTTGTTGCCCGGAGGAACTTGTATTTGTACCTGTCCACATCAAGACGAGAACCAAATCAGTGAAGAGTACGTCAGTCAACATTGTGTTTTTTGCGGTATTAGTCAGAGGGTATAGACAGACAACCTGTAAGAGACCCGGCGATCACAATGGAATGCAATCAAAAGTTCAGTGTTCGCATAATACATGAAGTCTATCTGCAAGCAAAGACAAGGTCCCAAACGGTAAATAAGATCAAATCCTAGCATCAAATGCTTGTAAGTAAAAACGACAAATGCTACCTGTAAGTCTCCATGGCCTTCGCCCCTAAAGGTAACAGATGGGGGAACTGGTTGTAGGATTATCTGGATGCTTGATCCTGGCCACTCAAGATCGTCAATAGCTTCCTTCAGAGCTGCAGACTGGGGATTGAATACCATGATGACAAAAGTTAGATATGCCCCATAGTAAAATATAGCGTCTATTAACAAATGTTGGAAAACAAATAATATGTAAGCATTGTCATCATGTTGTATGAATGAGACTGTTTTGGAATAGACAGTCGCCAATACTCTAAGCAGTGTACTTGAAATACAGCTTATAGTTTCCAAGAATCAAAAGAAAAATGCTAAGTGTTCAAAAGTTTCATCCTTTTCGAAAACAAATTGATTAGCACTTCAAGGTTTTTCACACAAGACCTAGCTCAACCTCATTGCACCCTTTACCAGCTAAGCAAAGGCCCAGCGACTGCACAGCATCTATCGGGGATTGGTCATTGTGAGACACAAGCTGCTGCTGCAGAAGTAGCATCTCACATGAAAGAAAAGTCGGGTAATGGAAATAGGCATGCCAATAAACAAGGAACAAAAAGGGTGATGCCCATTAATGAAGCATGTGGAAGAAATCAGCATGTTTCATTCATTTTCAAAGCCTGACTCCTGCCTTTTACGTATATTGTTTGATAACATGTCGATTCAAAAGAAATTAAAAGGAAAAAATGTTTGAAAGTACATGCGTATTGGAAAACCTTAAGGTTGAAGGCCTATAAGGAAAAGGAAGTATGAGTAAAAGAACCATACTCAATTGCTCATTAATACAGTGAATAGAATTGCATTTCTAGCTTTTTGAATAAGGAAAGACTTTGCGTATTTTCATCTTCAATAATTAAATGTCCATAGTTCGTGATTCAGGGAATAAACACTATGACTCAGTGGCCTTCATTCGTTTGTCACATCATATTCCACACACCTTCAAAGTAGAAGTTCTGTCTCAGAGTTGAGCTTTCATAAGTAAATATGTAAAGCCTAGTTTTGATCTAAAGCAATATAAATTGCTGGACAGACACAAAACATTAAAATGCAATCATGGGCATAGATTTCATAGCTGTAAGGATTATGATCAACAAGGAATTTGTAGTGTCTGGGGAAAATGAATTTTATGTCTACATAGTTGGCAACTTTCATATCTACTTAACAAAGACTTGTATCCCAACTAACAAGTATCAGCTACATGAATCCCCTTTTGTGCTTCTCTATCTAGGATGAGCGCAAAATGAAAATAGATAATAATCATATACATCACTATGGATGAGAAAAAATTCCAAAGATGACATGTTGACAAGAGCCGTTAGTTTTCAAACACTCTGAGTAATTGCTGCTTTATAGAGAAAAGAAATACCTTAACAGTGAAACTGAGAGGGGTGCTTCCTGCAGGTTCAAAGTTGTAATCCCATGAAATTGTGTCTGGGATCCTTGTTCTGATCTCAGCATAAATGCAAGCATCTAAAGAATCAACAGATCTAGCCAAAAAATGGAAAATTTAGCTTACTAAATTCAAGCTAATGGAACACAGTCATGGAGATTGTTGAATTCTGAAAATTTGACTATCATTAGCAACCATGAACGTGATTTAACTATTGGGTATTCATTTGAACTTCTTGAATTTCCCGTGAAACTGCACTGTCTATTGTCAAAAAATTGTTGTAGATTATCCTCAGTCACATTAGCGTTCCGAGTCAAAGTCCTATATCACTCTGCTTCGATATGATACAACTCCATGCCCCAAAGGTTGACAGTTATGGAAAAAAAAAACCTGCAACCCATTTCCCTATCTAACATTCAAGCAAAACCATCCTCAACTTAAAAATCTGTCGTCGAGTCCATGAATAGTCAGAGGAATAGATACAAACAAAAAATTTTCTCCTCTGTGCTTGTAAACATGGCACCACTTCAGCTTTAATGTATCAGCTTTCCTGCATATTGTAATGACCTGGATCGGTTAGTGTACAAATAATGTCCACTTTGGATAGGTTTGTACGGCTTCAAAGTATTCTGTACAGTGAAGATTCAAATCTCCTACTCATAAAAATGCATACGCACTTCGCCAAATGATGTTAAGATAAAGCACATGGACTTGGTACCCTCACAAGCTTCACGTCACCTCATCCCTCTTTGCCCTAGAGTCTTGACTCTTGGATTTGGGCTACCACAACTACACGTAAGTGTCTTAGCATGGATGCTTTATTCCTATCCACCAAGTTGTTAATAACCAAGACCCCTTCAATTTAAGGGAGTACATGCTCATCCCACTGAACTTATCTCAGTGTTTTTCATTATGAGATATTGAAAATAGAAAATTTCTTTCAACTTTCTCAAAGTCTCTCAATATAAGTTGGAAACACAAGTACCCTGATCCAAACAACATGTATACTGCACAGGACTGGCTGTTCTAACTCTAATCTACCTCTTGTGGTAAGCATCTTGCAGTCCAACAACTAAGTTCAGACTGCTACCTTTGGCCAGGTAGATATAAGAGGAACATCAAGGTAGTTAACAGCTAGGAATCCTTCAGGAATACCAAAGACCTCCATGGGAGTCATGCAAAACTGATCATCCATTCCTGCACCGAACCTAGCAATTTTCTGCAGAACCTCTCAGTCCAGCCA